CTTTTAATACACTTTTACTGCAACTTTGCATTAAAAGAGTCATTATTTATGACACTTGTGACACTTTATGACAACAGTCATAGACATCCATAAAGACTTCTTCATGTTCATGACAGCTGTTACACCATGTTCATTACAGTGTCATGTCAGTCTTGTGCACACTCTGTCAAATAAAGTGTTACCAAACCCTCTGAAAATGACCAGGTTGTTTACTGAAAATGAGTCAACTCTGAAAGAAGTTTTGAAAATCTGACCACAGCCCTTCCAAAAAGCGGTGTGGTTGGATGCAAATGAAGAAGTGACAGATGACTCGGTATGTTTCTTGTACAGCTGCTTGATAAGGAAGGTATTCCCATCAGTCCCACAGCCTTCTCATCCTAATACCTGTCACTAATATAAATCTTCAGTAGGAATTGACTAATTTCCTGCTTCTCAACCCAGCAAATGCAGAGAAGCATGTGTTTTGTTTGTCAAAGTTGAAGAAAGATTAGGAAGAAAAAAAAATCTTGTAACTGTAACTCAAACATTTCCGATGTAAGGAAAGAAATAAATTACTGTCACATGAATAATGAAAGTGGGTTCTACTGATGTGCGGTACTTTCTGAGAGTGATTCACCAGGCCTGCGCTGCTCTGAGCAACATGTTCAGAGCGCTTTCTGGAAGAAAGCTGCAGCCATTTGGCTTTACAGCTGCAACACGCTGCTTTTTCTTTCAACGTCTTTCTTGGAATTCAGAGACTCTCTGAACGCGTGTCTGAGGTATTACCTGAGATGTTGGTTGATGTCTCATTATATTATATTCTTAAACATCAACTAAATATAAAGCCATATTGGTGGTGGGGGGGGGCAGGGTTGAAAATGGGCATTGTCTTCCAACAATTTCATGCTGAGTATCAAACATCAGAGACAGTGCTACATATGGCTGAGTCATTTGTTTTTCTAAAACTTGCTCTGATCCAATCAGCGTTTTCTTCAGATTAATCATATCTGCTGTGATGTCACCATAGTAAATCTGTATCTTCTGTTTTCTTCTGTTTTTTTTTTTTTTTTTTTGCTTCAGGCATCAGGTCCAGTCTTATTCTGTAATTTACTTTGAATGTTGTTAAACCACCAACCTGCATCTGCATACCACATCTTCTGTGTTTGCATATTGATCATTTCTTTCATGTTTGTTGTAGACTTTGCCGTTAGCCGAGTCCCCGACCCATTTCCTGGGACAGAGCAGAACTGGGTTGCAGAACATTGTTCAAAGCTCAAAATGGCCTTTTCTGTGGCTAATGACCGACTGGTTGTGAATGCTAGTCGCAGGAAGGCAAGATAATGGTCTTAAGGTTAGAGAAGCCCCTCTACAGATTGGCCAGGTGGTCTATATGCGAAATCATAACTTTAGGGGGACGCCACAAAATTCATGACATCTGGCATTCTGATTCAAAATATCTTTGTTATGACAACTTGACATTAACCAAGAAATCATTACTGATATAAATTTGTTATAAAAGAATTACTGATTGTACTTTAAAAATTAGGTAACTTTATGTTATTAAAGGTAAAGTTTAAACAGTAATGATTTCCTGGTTAATGTCAAGTTGTCATAACAAAGACATTTTGAATAATGTCAACTTTGTATTAGAAGTCTCATAATTTACCGAATGACGGTTTATGACAACAGTCATAAATATTCATGAAGGCTTATTCATGTTCATGACATGTGTTATGTCATGTTAATGACAGTGTCATGACAGTCTTATTCACCCCCCTTCAAATAAAGTGTTACCATGGATTGTTTGTGGCTTCCCCCTTCCCTCCTCCTGCTGCTTCCTGGTGCACTTTCTTCTGGATTCTTTTGTTGGACTGTTGGTTTTCTTCATCCGTTAAATCAGCTGTACTCCACAACCTGCTGCTGCCCTCTAACGTTTCCTTTGTATGTCAATGTTAAATAAGTCCTTCTGATAAACCACAGGCCAGTTCCCATGAACTGACATTTCTGCTGCGTCCGCTGCTCCTGTTCAAACAGGCAAACAGGAGCCGCATGACTGCACACGTCTTTGTACAATGGCTGATTAACTTGAACACACCCTGTTTATTTTTTTTAAACAAAGACAAACGCTCAGAAAGATAAACGTGTGTTAAGCATTTAAAGTCGCTGATGGCTATGGGATTTAAAAAGGAAACTGTTGCGGTCTCAGTGAAGGTTTAGATGATGCTTTACAATATGATTATGATCATAAAAAGATTTGTGCTTCACATCTGAATGCTGTCATTTTATGCCAAACAATACCAGAGAAGATCCGAAATATTGCCTTTTTATCATATTAAATGTAAACAGTACAAAGTTTATATTTTTATGCATATGTATATAGGCTACTTCATACATTCATGCCATGCAACCAGATATCACTGGCATCTATGCAAATGTTAATGTGGAGCAAAAAACATTTTGTCTTATCTCTTGCTGCACTGATAATCCAATTACAGATTACAAGATTAAGCCGTCCTCTTTTCACGTTTTTCTCTCTTAGCTATGTCATATTTGCTCTCTGATAATCTTCTTTGAATGTGTTTGCAACTTTTTCCATCACACTAGTGGAGATTCTTGATCATCCAGGAGTGTTATTATGTGCTTTCCAGGCACATAGAGCCAATCAATCAAGTAACTATGGTACCTTTAATTGTTAAAAAAATACTACATATATCAATAAGGTCCCATACAAGTGCAGGATATTCACGCTTTGCCCTTGGTTGTTCCTCCATTCTGATGCAAGATGAAGGTTGAGCTCAAAATAGGAAGTTCAGATATGGACAGATTTCCATTTCTAGTAACTAACTGGAGAAAACACACCCTTTCTAAACTTAGCTATCGTCTGGAACCATTTCAGCTGGATATTTGGTCACACTTCTGAAAAAATAAAAATGTAGCACAGTTACTACATTTTCATCTGGCTGGAGATTGGGGAAGAGAAACTTATACGCTGGCGGGAAACCACAGCACAAAAATATGAGATTAAAGGTTAATTGTCCTGTTGACTTAAAAATTAGAAGCAGTTATTGAATAAAGGCAATAGTTTCTGATTCTCATAGTGAAGGGAATTATCTGGAACGTCATTAGAGTATTGAAAGCTTACAAAAGAAGATTGGGAACAACAAAAAAGTAAACAGATAAATAAAATTCTGACTATTTTCTCAGATTTGTGAGATTAGAGTCAGAATTCTGAGATTGAAGTCAGAATTATTTTTTTTTTCCAGTTGCACTAATCCCCTAAACCAAACTTCTCTCCTTTTTTTTTTTATCTCACTTATTCTCCTTCACAAATTTCCCGAGAATCAGACTGCACTATCCCCCACTTTACTGTTTCTGTACGTGAAGCCTACACACACAAAGACATGCCAAACCCACTTCCATAAACACTTCCTGCAAACCACGGGACAGCACAACAAGTCTCGTCCACTTCTCATCTAACATAAACAGTAAAACAACTGGCAGTCACGGCTGACAGAATGTGTTTCTGAGTGAACGCAGCTTGGTGAGTGCAAGTCAGATCAGAGCAACAGATGAACAGAGGAGTTTTTTTATCATATCAGCACAAATCAGTTACGTGGAATTCAGTCAGTTTATTGTTTCCAGTTATGGTCCACTGCAGCATGTTGATTTTGGTAAAGTCTGGCACAAGGCATATGAGCACACCCCTCACATAGAGGCACACACACAGGCATACCCGCACACACACACAGCCCCTTACAGGAAATCATCTGTTTTTTTGTTTTTTTCTTTGTCACGATGAAACGTACTCACACACACACACACATGCACACACACACACTGCCTTACAGGAAAAAAAAAAAGGGTATGACTGAAAGATTTTCTTTTTTTTTTTTTTTTACCTTCTTCATTGCTAAATGTTTGCAGAGGCCACGGGAGCACAGAACGTTTCCAACCACAGAACAAATACCAGTCAGATTCTCACATTAATAATCAAATGAATATGCAGACAGGTTCATTACAGCTTCAGCTGTGAGTAATTAATTGTAATTTGCAATCAACCTGACCTCTCCTCCAGAAAAATAAAGATGTTCTCATGTTTAATGCTTTAATCAAGCATTCTGGGAGAAGGAGCTTTTCAGCAGAGTGAAAGAAGTGTTTGTCCACTTCCTGATTCTCTTTTTTTTTCGTTTGTCACACTGCAAAGTTTCAAAAGCAGTTTAAATATTAGTCTAATGTTGACTCGTGTTGCCTTTGTAACATTGCACAAAGACATGTGCATGTGCAATGTCTTTGTGCACATGAAATAAGATACAACTAACTTAAAAGAAGGTGTTTCCCATTATTAAGGGGATACATAAGTAGGTAAGTGAGTAAGAACGATCAAGCTAATATACTTTTTAAACAAATAAATACCAGAAACATAAAAGGACTACTGAGGTCCAGAGTTACAACAAATATTGATGTGTGCTGTAGATCATTTTCAGTAAATCTATCAAAAGAAGAGAGAGGACAAAGAAGTTTCCAGCATGCTATGACTTGTGTTTTTTTTATTTTTATTTTTTATTTTAGTTTAGTTTAGTTTTTACAGAGTTAAACCCTCATGTCATAAAATCTTGTATCTGTTGCTGTTCATATTCTGAGCTTTAAGTGTCACATGAAGCATGAGAAATGGTGCATGTGAAAACAACCACAAAGCCGTCAGAGCGGTTTGTCAGGCCAGGCGCAAGGCTGACATCAATCACTGCACAACTGAGACGAGACCTGAGTGTGTGTGAGATACACACCTGTTAAAACTTTCTCATCAATATCAAAGATTCTTTTTGCTTAAAAGCTCATATTTCTTACTGATAAGTTACATGTAAGTTGGTACACTTAGAAGAAGACAAAACCAAGATATGAATGTGAAAATTCCCTCACTTTTTGTGGACAAAAGTGAGTGAGTTATTTAGACCTTCTTTCATAATCACCTTTTATTTTTAAGTCATAGAAATTCTTCAGTCACTTCTCCTTTCCATATTCCCTCCTGCATCAAGTCACAGACAAAAAGCCACGCCTTGTTTCCACTGCTGATACGAATCAAAACACACTTCAGGAAAGTCCCTTGAATTATCTACAAAATACGTGATTCACGTGCAGAAATTTACACTATTCACTTAACATTTGGACATAGGGGCTCAAACACTAAATTGCACTAAATTATGAAAGATCTGATATTAAAGAAGTAAGGATAAGAAGAAGTTCTTATCTATTCAATTATCTTGGTCTCAGGTTAATCTCACATGAACTGGAGAGCTGATCAGCAACAGTAAAAGGATCTTTATTGTTTTTCCCCTGAAAGGGAAATAAAGAGGAGGATCTGGTTAGAGTGGTTAGTTTGCACAATTTATTACTCACAGATTACTGTGCAGTTTGAAGGAATACGTTATATATTGGCTGTCATTACCAGTTAAGATAGTGCAAGAAACAAATGGCCTTCTGACCTCCGTGTTTCACTCTTAGTGGCATAAAACAACAGGTGTAGGTTTACAGGTTTACTGTGTTTACTTTACATGACAAAAGGATCAGAAAGAGGAGGAAGTGTCATGAAGTGTGTGGTTGGTGGTGGTGAGGAGATGACGCAGGCGGACCCAGGATGTATGAATATGATGGTTTTAATAAAGATGATGCTCGAAACAGTCCAAAAACAGGCAGCACGGCAGAGAGACAGGCACACAGCCAAATACCGGTAGCAACTGACACACAGGACTGGAAACGAGAGCTAACGCTATCCAGGACTTAACAGTTCTACTGGAGCAAACACAAGACGTAAGACAAACTTAGACAAGGATCCGACGTGGAACACAGACAACAGGTGGGTTTAAATACAGACGGGGTAATCAAGGGAATGAGACACACCTGGGAAACAATCGGGGAGGACGCAGAGACAGACTCACAGGGAACAGGACTACACAGAAACTCAAAAATAAACACACAGAAACACGGAACATGACAGGAAGAGGACATACCAGCATCTTTAAAGATAAAAAATATATATATTTTGGTGCAAATCATCCCACACAGTTTTACTGGCAGAGTAAAATCAGGAGACACTAATTTCTTACTAATGCCTCACTGATGAAATGACTAATTGAGGTTAAAGGTCACGTGGCACATTGAAACAATGCCATCTGCATGATGTGGCATTGAATCTTCAATTATGTAAAACAGATCTGATCTAACCATGCGTTGTTACAATAGGTTATGCATGCCATCATTTTTCTTATTTTTTATATGTATAAAAAGGCCAGATTTGTGTAAATTACACCATGCAGTTTCCCACCAGCAGCAATTGTTGCCGAGCGTAAAACCTACATTTTCACTAATGTGACCAACATAAAATTTAATAATTCATATGTTGCGGAAAGTGCCTCCACTGTATGTGATGCTTAGCTTAGTGAGTTGTGCGGGTGCAAGAGATGTGTGGCAGTCGTCCTCCCGTCTGAAGGGGGGCGCTGCATACTAAAATAACCCCTGCATCCTTGAGGAGCGAGGGAGAGACAGTGTGTGTGAGGCGGAGTGAGTGTGTAGATGACGACCGGAGCAGCGGCTGTAAGAAAAGTCTGTGCAGCTTTCACCTGTTAGCTGGAGTTATTAAAAGTTAACCTCAACCATCTCCGTGCCACCGCGTGGTTCATGTTCAAGGCGTGCGAGGGAGTTAACCCGGAAGTAGAAACTTCGGCCCTGGAGAAACATCTCCCCTGTGTCTTCAGACCACGGTCAGCAGATTGAGCAGGAACGGTTAACACATAAATATCATGTGTTAGGGAGGTCCAAAACCTGAAATGTATTGTGTTTATTTTACAGGAAAAAATTTGGGATTAAACGTGTTAATAGTCATCACTGCAAAAGCAAAGTAACAAGATCCAAGAAAATGTAATTTCACAGGTCAGTAAAAAGTTTTTCATTTAGTAAAAATACAAGAAAGTGGAGAGTCAGTTAGATAAACTGTAGCTCAACCTTAGAATGGACCCCTGCTGTGCAGTTCAGTGTGTTTTGGTTCAATTAACACAAAAGTAAAGCGACTCACAGACATCTACTTTCTGACAGATTATCAGTAAAACAGAGTTTAAATTAACTAAACTATGACTAGTCTTCAAGATGTTGCTAACTATTATTGTGATGATTCTTCACAAAAAATATTTTTGAATTGTGAAACTATTTTCAACTGAAGGCAAGCACTGAGCAAATATACAGACCCATTCAAAAAAATTTTAATATGAAGGAAAAGTTCATTTTTTAGTAGTTAAATGACCAAATGAAAGACATTCTATAGATTAATTATCTGACTGATGTTTTAACATAGTTATATCTCTTAGTATGTTTAATACCTGCTAAGAGGTTATTTTAGCAGGATATCTTATGAGTGCTATAAGGATACATATGCTAATTTATTGAATAAGGCTGTATGCAACACAGAATTGCATTTCATATTTTTTTCAGCGTAGGGTTTAAACTGCGCCTGAAGCACACAGCATTGATGAGGTGCTGTGCAAACAAAGAAACTGACAAAATACATTTCCTCTGTTTACAGTACTAACAAAAGCCATAATCTCATGATCCTCCATTCACCGCACAAATCGTAACAGCGTGGCTCACTGCCAAATGTTGCTAGAGCGTCCAATAAATAATCCACTAGAGCAGAGCTGTGACAAACAGAAACATATACTGTCAATGCGTATTAAAAAAAAATTCAACAACGACTCGGAAATCAGAAAATCCAGTAGAGCAAGTAAAACAGAGAGCAGAACAAGCTAAAGACAAATATAAGAGAACATAAAAAACAGACATAAGAAGTTTGCATTATTAAAACACAGAAGAGCTTTGAGTAACTGAATCAACGTTTGATTAAAACATGTCAGAGTAGAACATGCTCTGTTCTTTTTAAAAAAAAATCCCCCTCTCTGATTCATGTCCCCACCACTTCCCTCTTGTGACTTGCTAAAGTGAAAAACTTTTTTTTTTTCGTGAAGATTGTCAGTTTGAACAGAAAAAAAAAACTCCACTCAAATACAAGTGGAGTTTTAACTTTTTTTAAAAAGTAAATGTTGGAGCAAGACACTGAACCTAGAATAAAGTGCCTCCTTAAACTGTTCTCTGAGTGAGTGATCTTTGTTTTCTAACTTCTGCAATATTTCTTTTTTATGAATTAAGTTTACTTTAAGCTCAACACTTTTGAGGAAGTATCTGGTTTTACAGCATCTAATCTGTCAACAGGAGTCACACATCAGATCGCAACATTTTAGCTTTGGGCTCATGCATTCATTCAAGGTTTAAATAACCTCTTTAGGTGTTTCTTATACCTGTCTTTTGCTTATAAACTGCAGACACATTTTTTACATTTCTGGAGAAAAGTTGTCACTTTCTTATGACTTTATTGCTGAATTAAAGAAAAAAAAAGAACAATACTTTTACGCTTTTTTAAACAAAAAGCTGTTGTTTCCTTCAATATTATTGAAGGTAGAGAGCAGAATTATCTAAAGGTGATGATTCTGAGCAGGAATGACGTTGGCCAGACACAAGTAAACCCTAATTTGCTAGTGTTAGGGTTTGGGTTAGCTACCACTAAACCAAACACAGACTCCACCTCAAACATCTTTACTGGCTGATCTGTGGCTCATATTAAGTGTTAAACTGATTAAAGAAGTCAAAATGGTTAAAATAACAGATTCTTTAGGGCTGGCATGCACATCCACCTTCCATCCAACGATTTACAAAAACGGTAAAATGGAAAAAAGCAGGCACTCACTTTCACATATCGTCATTTCTTTCTTCCACTGCATGAAAGAAAGCAAGAGCAATGGAGAAAGATTTTATTTTTCTTATATATATATATATATATATATATATATATATATATATATATATGTGTGTGTGTGTGTGTGTGTGTAAATATTTTATTAGTTTTCAGTTTCAGTAAAATTAATTTTAGATACCTTATCGCAGACTGAAACATGTTTGATCATCTCATAACACCTGTAGGTGTGCAGGAAGGTGCCGTTTGAGGATTTCACCAGCTTTTCTGCTTTTCTGTCGCTGTTAGCAAGAACGTCGTCCTAAAAGGAAGTGAAGTGAACAGGAATAACTAACAGATTACAGAATAAATCACTTTTAAAGCTGCAGTATGTAAATTTTATCTGAAAACTTTTTACATACTTATTGATGCTGTCGCTACGTTGTGACAGTGTGGTAGGAAACGGATAATCTGTGCAAAAGAATTGATCTCCTCTGCCTTTTTGTGAATGCTAGGCTACTTAGCATGGCCACCAATGAGGGCAGATAAATGGTTTTCCTGTAACAGTAAGTTGTTTCTCTACCACTACCACCTTTAACAGCAAGTACATGAGTATGAGTGACAGCGTTAAGACCCTCCCCCTGGCTCTGATTGGTTGTTTTTGGTTGGGACTGGCAGTTCAGGGAGGAAGTGGAGGAGATTGATCTTTCACACATTATCTGTCTCATAGCAAACAGTGATGTCATGGTGACAGTTTTAACAAATATGTAAAAAAATATTTCAAAAAATTTTAAACTACAGTTACATAGTGTCAAGTCAAGGTGTTTATAAGATGTGTATGTGTTATTGTGAAGAATCTCTTAGCTGTAAAAAATCTTTTAATGAAGCTCTGTAAAGAAATTAATCCTTTATTCAGTAGGGATCCACTGACTGATGGCCTGGCCGATCAATCTGCACCGAATTCCATAATTTCGGATGATCTGCTGATGCTCAGATGAGATACTGATCTGATTCACTGATTTCATCTGCCTACGCAAAGCTCTGAAAATAAACCACAGTTTTCTTTTGCTCTGTCTTGACAGAGGGTCGACATCCAGACCCGCCTAGTAGGTCAAGTCAGTACATCTGCAGTATTCAGTCACTGTGGCCAGTTTTAGTGACTCTGTTAGATTATTTAGCAACTTTCTCTGATGACTTTTTTCAAGAAAGGAAGCTGTAACCAATGCAGCAAACTTTTTCCTGTGTTATTGGAGACTTTGGCACCAATATTAAGGCAGTTAACTTTCAAATGAAAACAACTACTTTGTCATATGATAGATCTAATGGTGCACCAATTGCAGTTTTCTGGCCAATTGCCGATCTTTTAAAAAAGCTTAACCTGCCGACTCCGATTTTGCCCGATACCAATTTATTTTTGCTGCTCAATATAGCAAGAAAGTTGTTGAGTTGGCAACAGTGGGGTGAATATTGTTAATTATAAATGTGCAGACAGAACTTGGTGGGCTGGTCTGCCAGTCCAACCTTCCTCACCAGAGAGCAAAAGAGGACAGAAGTTGATTCTTAGACCTTTGCCAAGATAGATAAGATCAGAGGATAAGATTATTATTATTATTATTATTATTATTATTATTATTATTATTATAAACTTTAAAATGTATTACATGTTTTTATTTACTTGTACTAATTAATAAAATGAAAAGTCAAATACTTTTAAAAATGTGTTTCTGAATAAAATAAGTAGTCAGACACATCATTACATTTTTTAAAGAGCTGCAGCGATGCCTGTCTTTTAAAGATGAGAGTTTATTACCGTCTCCTTCTTTATTTCTCACCCACAATGACAAAGCGCTCCTGAACCATCCCTCCATCTTTAGTTCAACGGTTTACAGCAACTACCCAAATTTCCTGGAAATGAATTTGGACGTTTTGCAGGACATTTACATGCAGAAGCAACTCTGCTGACTGCCGCCTGCCTCTGCAGCTCTGCTGGAGCATGTAAATGTCCTGCAAAACATCTAAATTCATTTCCAGGAAATCTGGGTGGTTGCTGTAAACCGTTGAACATCAGATGAGCTCATGTGCCACTTTGATATTCAGATCTTTAAAGGAAAAAATAAACAAATGATCCTCGAACAAT